ATGTTGAAGAGAATCACCATAGGATATCTGGGAAAGAATATTGGGATGACGGATAATGTTAGGAATGTTATGAAAAATATTATCCTTCATAACGGAAATAAGGTTGATGAAACGGGATGAAGGGTATTTCAAATAAAAATTGACATCTCTCGCGTCATCCTGTAATACTATTAATTCATGAACATCGGTAATGGCATCAGAACAAAAGAACTGATTACAATGCTGACATTCATAACTTATTAGTTTTTTAATCAAGTACACTGCAACATAAGCTTGTTAAGGTTAACTTCAAGTAACGAACGGTACTCTTAGTGTTGGTTGATGGTTTCGTAGTGGTAATTGAAAAAAATTGATAGGAAAAAGACGAAGAAGTGGGATTGATAGGATCACTGGGAGTAGAGTTGGAAAGAAGAATATTATAAGAAAGAAGGAAGTCTTCGCCATCATCTTCACAATTCGTCCCAATGCCACAAGAACCATCAGGTATTATTTAAAATTACTGTTTTGTAAGTATCGTCGAACTGTGAAGGTGAAGGCTTTGTGTAACCACCACATAATTCTCTAGCAACACTAAAGAGATTTTCTAAAGGATCTTGATTTAAAGATCTCAAAGTGTAATACTTGAAACCCTTAGCCCTTAGAGAATCCCATAAGTCCTTACATTGCTAATTGTTGCTAACAGTAGTTTGATTGTTGGAGAATTTCCTACACACTTACCATTGGACAAAAATTTGATTTTTCTCAAGATTCTACTAGCATCATCCCAATATCGAATATGTGTTGTGAGCTGCTAGTTAGCTTACATGCTAAAGGTTTTACAGAGGTAAATACAGCATTCGGCGAGTCAAATAGGTCGTTCATAAACTTTACAAATATCGCTGTTTCCGCAGCATCAAATAAACAAATGACATCTAAATAAAAAATTAAACTCCCGTAAACACCCCAAGATCTTGTAAGTATGTTTTAAATAATTTCAAAACAAACGATATATGGTTCATGAATTTTTTTCGAGGGGTACTTCCGGGAGGTAAATTGAGGTATTGAGATAAATGAAAGTTCGGTTGTGTAATTGTTTCTTGTATCCTAGGTCCCAATAAAAAATTGCACACTAGCATTGTGCTTTGAGACCGTGCTCTAAAACGATGCTTCGAAAAGCTTGTTCATGAAAAAGTACTCCAAAAGGAGTGCTTCAAAAGAAAAGACCTAGTCAAGGTCTATGTCCAAAATGAAGTTTAAATAGCGAAAATAAATGAATATCCGGAATTTTAAACTATTAAATACGATTTTCACTAATGGCAACAGACCCCAAAAACATTTAAAAATCTCAAAGTGTCAAAATCTCTTCACACGATATTTTCACTAGAACTGATTTTTCAAAAAATGACCAGTTTCTAAACTCGTTTCCAAAGTATATCCCGAGACACCAAAACTGAAACCGTCCAACTGCGCCATCGCGTATGGAATAGGAAAAGTAAGGAATGGTAGGTATCTCGCATTTCGTTATCTTCGCGCTAAATTAAACCCATAACAAGAAAAAAAAATGATCTCGAACTAAAAAAATATATAACTTAAATTGGTTAAAAAAAACGTAACACACCTCTTAACAATAGTTAACAATAGGTTTAACAATAGGACAAAGCAAGAAACACCCATAAGGAAAGTGTGTAAAGTTCGTCGGCGCTCTTTCCCGACCTTTTTGATGCGGCAATCTTCTTCAATTCTTTTTTATAATTTGTTCGAAGGCTGTTTATCTTTTTTTAACATCCTTTCTTTTGTTGGTCCCAGGCTCATTAAACAGGATATGAGGCGGTCAAGAGCTGAATTTCTTTCAGCTTTGTTGGAATATATTGAGTTGGTCGAATTCCACAGTTCTACCTCTTCGTTCTATATATTGTAATGTTTTTCCAAATGGACCGCAAATAGTCCCTCTTCTTTTGAAAAGAATTATTTTAATGAAAACAACATTACTAAATTTTATAATAATTTGTTTTTTATTAAATTGAAAAAAATTGAAATATTTAAACAGAATTGTCGAATTATCTCAGGGTTAAACGCATGTGCACAACTTAAGGTGCAATCAAATTGAGATGTTGTCGACAAAATTAACAAAATATACTGATTATATAAACAAATATTCTAAATTAGTTGATTCGAAGTAATATTTATCAACTCGGATATGTTATGGTCTTAAAGAACTCGTCAAATATTAAATTAATTAGGAAATTGTAATCATAATCTCAAAATTTATATTGAACTTATCAAGAACTTCTCGTATTGAAGGTAAGAACAGTATGTTTTTTTTTTTAATGTATCAACAAAAACAATAAATTATAAAAAAAAATAACTTAGCCAATTTGTTTCTATGGGAACTTTGGAGGTCAAACTCAGAATAATATTTTCTTCGTGACAGGGACAGTTGGATTCAGGATTGGGAACCAATTTTTCTCTTCACTAGTGATGATGGTTTCTACCAGAAACGGAACCAATTGCTTTACTTGATCAGGAGCGAATTTAATCGTTTCTTCGAAATTATTGAACAGGAACGGATATTTTTCTTTAACCCTAGAATACTATACTGGTTTTGATATACGTGAATACTATACTGTCGTAAACTTGACGATCATTAAAAAACATTATATAGAAAGCGCATTTTTATTACAAAATATGTACAATCTATGAAGATATCTTGCTTACGTATTCAGTAACACAATAATATATAGTAAACCTAAATTATCTTAATGCGAGGCGCATTCGGTGCAGTAATTTCCACGATGCGTTCCACAAAATGCCTTTCTACACTGCACACAATAGGTGGTGGTCATTCGCCTTAATTTGCTCGGGCAGTAAAAACAAATTGTACGTTTTTTGTCTTGAGGAACCGTATTTTCATCCACCACATCTACCTTGAGTATTTCGCAAATGTTTTGGCGTAGATTTCGACGTAAACTTGGAACGCTTATTCTGTGCTCCATCCACGGCTTTGCAAGGCGATAGGCCAATTCAATCATAAATCCTTCCCGTGATAAAGGTTTTTCGCCCCTCTTAAATGTATTGTAGCAATATACTATATATGAATTAATACTGGCTGAATTTACCATTCCGTAAAATACACATAACGGCCATCTTCTGGTTTTTCGACTGCAACTCATATTTGAAGAAAGCTGATCAAACGTATCGACCCCTCCTTTGGTTTCATTATAATTAAGAATCATCATTGGTTTACCATTTTCTTCTGAAATTTCCGCTCCATCATGCATCGTGGATAGCAATAAAACGATTTTATTTTTTTTCGGTTCGTAAGACACCAATGTTTTGTTTCGGTCAAAACAAAACATTGAAGTTTTAGGATTCCTTCCTTTCGTTTCTAATAGTTGTGGGGGTATCTCCCGTTTATTTTTTTTTATTGTTCCTAACATCGTAAGTTTATATGGTTTTTGTAGTAGTTCATCAGCAAGGTCAACCGAAGTGAACCAATTGTCCATCGTGATATTTCGATTGCTGCCGTGAACAGACTTTGTTAGTTCTTTTACAAAATAATTTGCTACTGATAAACCTCCAGTTTGCGTTCCCTTTCCTAAGTGTGGACATGCGTCAACTAGATATTTTGATGAAGAATCACATAGCATCACTATCTTTATGCCATATTTAGCTGGCTTAGTAGGTATATACATTTTAAAAGGGCACCTGCCGCGGAAGCCCAGAAGTTGCTCGTCTATTGTCAGATAAGACGATGGCGTATACGACGTTCTGCAGGTGTCGATGAATATTTCCCATATTTTACGTATATGTGTAAAAGGATCATCTTGCTTTCTCGCTTCTCTACTTTCTTTATCATCAAATCTAAGACAATTAACTAGAAAGTTAAAACGTTCGTAACACATGCAACTTTTATAAAATGAACCCGAAATAGCAGAATCAAACATCCGTTTGACGTGAAGATGATTATCTTTTTTCACGGCAGAGAGTAGCAGCACTGCAAAAAATGCCATTATTTCCTCCTTAGAAACATGTGAGATCCAGGCTTCGGCTTTAGCATATTTCGCAGATTGTCTGGTAATTTCTTCATTAGTGTGTTGAAGAATTATATTCAATATATCATTGGAAATAAAATGCAAGAAGTGATCCTCAACTGTTAAACACTCTTTAGCTTTTCCTTTACTGCCTACCAAAAAATGTACTATATTTCGACTAGCTGTTCTTTTAGATCTTAGCGGTAATTTAGCTGACCATTTATGTCCGTTTTTTCCCTTGAGATTAGTTGTATTGGGCAAAATTATACTCTTCTCCTTTCGGGGTATTTTAGACAATGGGAGATTTTGATCGGTTTCTTGTTCAACGTTTTGTGGTACTACTGTTGAACTACGTACATCAGCAACATCTATGGGAACATTTCTAGTCTCTTGTGTGGAAAAAACTGGGGAATCATGGCGTGCAGTTCTAACATCCTCATCCGAATTGGTATCATCATCGTCATCTGAAATAGACTCATCGACTTCTAAATTATCTTCTTCCCAGTCACTTCCGCTATCACTATAAAGTTCTGAATTACTTTCTTCTCCATTCATTATTCGTTCAATTTCCATTTGTAATTCAAGTTCAGACAAAGGTCTTTTGGACGACATTTTACTAAAAGATCGATTAGTATTACGAACATAATAAATTAGGATAAAATTCTCTTACTTGTTAGAAAAATTGAATCTCTCGAAAATTGTACAAATTTCGCGAACATACGTCAACACTATTCCGTCGTAAAATTGACGACAACCTTTCGAAATAACCAATACTGGAAAACAATTACGCACGGTCACCTACACTGACGTATAGCTCACGACTAGCTATGAAGCTACTGAGAACGTTGAAACGGGCAATCACTAGAAAGAACCGGAAAACTAGCGGGAATACCCTACCGCGGTAAATTTTACGAAGGAATAGTATTCTAGGGTTAATAGGAACAGGATGAATCGTTTTTTCAGAGTTGAACAGGAATGGATATAATTTTTTTAACTCGTTGACACGTTGAAGAAGAAAAACAAATTTTATTCTGTACCCACTACATAAAAAAAATAAGAATAACAATAAAAATATCTATATGTATATACAACAAAAATAAAAAAAGTTAAGGGGTGAGAATAGGGCTACCGACCAAGGTCTTTCTGCCCGAGAAGTTTAATTAATTTTCAGCAGAGCAAAAAAAATTTCTTTAGACAACAGGAAGCACACTCTTTTTGTTGATAAATTCCGTTTTTCGGATGTTAAATTTCCAAATAACCTCTCCTGATTGGTTAAATTTATGGATTTGGAATTTGTGTCTTAGTTTTTTCAATGTAGCCAACTTTGACATTTGAAATGTCTCTAATTCAATTTGTCAAATTATTATTTAAATTTTTAAAATTATTTATAATTATGCGTGATATTTCGTAATTTTGATGCTCTTTTAAAACAATTTTCAAATATCCATTCATTTTCTTCTGATCTCAACGATAAATTTTCCAATATGTTCAAATTAATTTTGTAAATTTTCATCCAAATTTCATTATTCCATACAAATATTAATTATTTTCTTTGTTAACCAAGTTAAGTTTATCGTTCTAAATAGGTTTGATCCGGGTAGATAAAGATTTAAATAAATAATTTTGAAAAATTTAAATTGAGGTTATCTGATATCGAATCTTTAAAATTACTTCGCATCGACTTTACAAGTGATAGTTTAGGATTAGAACATTAAAGAACAATAAAATGTACCGAAATTCACTAGCGTATAGTATCTAACATTATTTTATAATTGTTAAAAAAAAACTCTTCTACGATCAATACGATAATCAAACAAGACTAAACTACTGGTAAACGGTTATTATTACAATATATATATATATATATATATATGTTGGATTGTCTAGCTCTTGTTGTCAGTCCTTTGTTTGTCGTTTCATTTGTTACAGGTATGCCCATGGCTGCTTTTAACCATTCAATATTATTGTCAATATGCTAAGGTATTGTCTATTCTCATCCCCCGGGGAGTGTTTCAATCTGCAACCACCCAAAATAACTGAGAAGGACCCTGTGCAAACCCCGTGTGCGATCAACATTTTTGTAAAGTATGTTTTGAATTTTTTTTCTCAACCTCAAATGAAAGTAAAATTTTGCAACATAGATTTATGAAAAATTACATTTACCTTTTCGCTGGTGCAATAAAATACAAATATAAGTTAACAAGAGTTAAAATATGTTTTAAATATTGGAATAGGATTATATTCGGCAAAATAAACAATTGAAAACGAAGGAAGGGTCAGAGCATCAAACGAAATGATTATAAAAATGGTACCAACGATGACATTGGTTACAGTTAATGTATTTTGATACGTTGTACAGTCCACAATCTCCAATGTCACGATAGATCAAAGGAAAATTTTCAGATTTTCTGATTTTCAGGATCAAAGTTTTTATTGTTTGAAAACAAATCATGGATTCCACTTTCAGCTATGGTGTTAATGAAGAATGTCACAAATACGCCACAGTTTACACTATTCATCTGTTTGGGATATTTACAGTATCGTGCCATTTTCCAATCATCAACGTCAATTTGATTATCACAAGTGTTGAAATTATTGTAAAGTAATTTTCATCATTTTAAAAATTTTAGATTGGACATTTGTGTGTCCTTGAGCATGAAAATATATATTAATTGATTAGGTACACTTATTATAATTAAACTCCAATGCGAAAAACCCATATTGTAAGGAATTAATATGTACTTGTACTGTGTTGAGACTGTGTCAACATAATAGATATGAGCAAAATTTTGTAAATGTGCAAAAGTAAAGCAGTCTTTTACAAATAATTTTCCAAAATTTTTTTTGAAAGCAATCTAAAATAAACGTTACTCATAGCTTCACTTTAGTTTTGTAGTATGTATAAATACCAATTAAAAATGTTTTCACATGTTTATGTCCATTTTGCTTGTCTATTGCGCTAAATCGAATGTGAAGACAATGGTGATGATGTGTGAGATGGCACTTCTTGAGTGTTCGGTGAATTATTGACAATACATATGAGCGGATTGTCTTCAGTTTTTGATGGCGATGATGTGCAAGATTGTATCACTTGCCTGTTCATCGAACCATTTTCAACACAAGAAACAAGCGAAATCTCCTCGTTTACGTGTTTTCCTACAAAACTTTGAAGTTTCCTCTTATCAAAATGCGTTTGCCTTTTCTTTACTTTTGGTCACCATCCTTCTTTTTTCAACAAATCATCAATATTTTTTTCATGAATGATTTTCTTTTGTCTTTTACGTTTATGTGTTATATCGAGCTCTACATCCTTACCCTTTGTGCGTATAACATCCTTTAATATTCTGATTAACCGACCCACTTTCATATATTATTCAGTGCAAACGATATTCTTTTTCAAGATCTTAAACCGATATTCTAATAAGGTAATTTTTCATCTTCTCATATATTTTCCGAAATATAAGTTTCTAAGATTGAAGTCCATAAAGGTACAAAAGGCATACCGTTTTTTAATAGGTTCTCTGCGAATGGAACACATTGCAAATCATATTTCTCATGATAATTCACAAGCTCTGTGAACCTGGAACCCGAGTTTACGATATTTTGGGTTTATTAGTACCATTCCATAGAGAATCGTTTGTACTCGTTTGTGCCACCTTTAATTTCGTTTGTACCTCAGAACCTAAAGAGATAAAAATATTTTGAAAAATTGCCGGAACCCCACTTTTTGTTATTCTAATTTTATTAATACCATTCGGTAGCGAATCGTTTGTACCCGTTTGTACCACTTTCGATTAATACCGCTGAAAGTGTGTATCTCCATTATTAATACAGATATGAGGTGTCCTTCTGCACCGCTTTGAACCTACAAAAGGTGCATTCACAAACATAAAAATCTTACAATTGCCGGGAAAATGGTGAAATAAAAAGAAGAACCAGCTGTAAACCTCGGCATCGAAAACACGTGTGACAAAACCGTTAAAACACCTTTGACGTGAACGCCTGCGTACAAAAGTGAAAAGTAACATCGGCAACTTCACGTAAAGCGAGAAGCGCGAAAATTCAAAATTTGAGAAAATAATTCGTAAACAAGAAAGGGATCAAACGGAAATTATGTTGATTTATACAATTCAAAAATTAACGAATAAATGCTGCTTAATGCATCTATGTCCGTCCTAAAATTAATTGTACTAGATTGGGTAGATATGTGGAACATCTCCAAGAATAGTCTATTATGATTTATGATAATTAGATTCTCTATCTAAAATTTTAACCTCATCAAAATTGAACGGGTGGTCATTATCAAGACAATGTTAAGCTAAAGCACAACCGCGTTTAGAAATTCTTATGTTGCTTTTATGTTTACTGAGGCGTTTCTTTAATCACTGACACGTGTGTCCCACATATCTACCATCACACAAAGTGCAAGGTACACAATAGACAACGTTCGACTGATACTCCAACGACGTTTGATCTTTAAGTTTAGAGAAAACAGTAGAGAGCTTTGAAGGATAATGTTCAATATATTTAATGTCATTATTAGAAATATTATTTTTAAACATAGTGATTAATTTATGAGTTAATTAAGTTATTTTCTTGCATATAAATTATTAAGAGTTTACGTTTGACTGAAGGTCCAAATTTTGGTTAGGTGGAGCAGAATTAAAAAGTAATTTATTCAAAAGTTTAGAAGGGTAATTATTAATGATGAAAGTTTCTTTTAATTTATTAAGGTTAGCGTTGATCCACTGTGGTTCACAAATCTTTGTTATTCTATATTTCATAGCTAGGATAGTATTTATTTTGCGTTTTATTTTATGGAAAGATGAAAAATGGATGTATCTCCCTGAATACGTCGGTTTGGTGTACCAGTCAAACAAAATGCGATCGTTATCACCTCTTATCACCTTAGTGTCTAAAAACGGTACATACATATCAGTCTCTAATTCTATTGTAAATTGAATATGTTCATTAAAACTATTGAAGAGGGACAAGACCCTATCCTGGGAACCTGTAGGTATGGCCAAAATAATGTCGTCTACATATATTTTTATGAAAGGTAATTAAAAGTCTAATTTAGGTATAATTACATCTAAAGTATAATCCATTACAATCTGAGCCAAGATAGAGGGGAGATTGGAGATCCAGAGATGGAGTGCTAAAAATCTATTTGTAGGTGTTGTCGAAGCCACCATAAAATGAGGTGGTAACTGCAGTCCTCTTAATTCGTTCACGAAGTCGAAGGTGCTTTTTACATTATACTCATTCCTCGAGTTGAAAGACGTTGTTAGAATTAATGACATCCAAGTGGCGACACCATCCGACGCGGACCCCACAGCGGAGATGATCGGTCTCAGGGGTAAGTTGACTTTATGAATTTTAGGGAGAAAGTATGCCTTAGAGATAACCGAATTGTTATTAATAAGTTTCTTTAATTCTGTATCATTAATGTAATTGGCGTTAAAAAGTTTGATTGTTGGACATTTGATTTTCCTTTAAAAACTAAACCATAATCTTTTGCATTATTTAACAGGTTGAGTGCCACAAGAGTCCAACGTGGTTTCGCATATACTTTTGACTTTCTAGCCAGGTGAGACCAATGTAGCCTCGCA